TTCATCGCCCATTGATGTCAGTATATATATATATATACATATATATGTATATATTTTTTTTTTACGTCGTCACCAATCACCTGTACACGTTCACATTGCACATACGCAGGGACTCCCAACACATTGAAGAAATTAAAATAGGAGTAGCAGAACACATTCATGTTTTTGTCATATGCTGCAATTACCAAAATCCAGTAAATATATTGTTATTAATATAAATATGATGATTTGAAACGCTCTACTGGATTATGAGGCAGCAACAGCTTGTGGGCAAGCCAAAAAGCTGAAATCTTACTGTTATTTGACAGCTTGAAGAAAAAAAGATTCAGAACCCTATCTGTAAAAAAAAAAAAACGAAAAAAAACCTTAACCATTTCAAATTGTATTCACTCTAAAACTGTATTCATTGTTCTTTGCACCAGACAATGGAAACAGACCTTTAATCCAACAAACTAGATGCTCTTAAGTACTGTTTACTAAAGTTGTTTAGTTTAACTATTGCATCCACCTGAAAGTTCACATAACACAGTGTAATTAAGTAAATTCAACAAATTTGTAAAAATCAGTTGTGTTTACTCGCTTTTCCTAAGTAGATTCAATTATTACTTTTTACAGTGTAGAAACATGATCACCTCGTTATTATTTCCTGTCTTATCAAGGGCAGAGCATCGTTAACTGTGGATGAAGATCCCTCACATTACACAGGTCTTGCAATCCAGGCATCACTAATTAAACACACTGCACATCCTGAAAAGACCGTTGATGATGGGAAAAATCATTAATACATATTTGAATGCATGTTACAGTGAGTCAGACTCACACTTCAAACCTCTACTGAAAACTGATGAAACCGGCAAGCATACTCACCTAACCGCCTCCGTCCAGTCTAGACATTTTTCTCTCAGCCTAATAAACTGGACTGAAAACAGCTGCATTTGTCCAGCAGATCATCTGTGACACAGTAAAGATGAATTTACACAACAAACATTTAACAAACGCTTCCTCTCAGCCCCAATTTAAACGATTTAAAAGGATAGTTCACCTGAGAAAAAAAAAAGACAATTTTGTCATCATTTACTCACCCTCATGTCGTTCCAAACATATATGTACTTTTTTGTGTTCTTGATTCTTAAAATCGAAGTGCATGATTTCTGTGGCACTATAGAGCCCGAATTACTGTGATGCTGAAAATGCGGATGATTTCCTAAACCTCAGGCCATCCAAGATGTAGATGAGTTTGTTTCTTCACCAGATTTGGAGAAATGTAGCATTACATCACTTGCTCTCAAGTAGATCCTCTGCAGTGAATGGGTGCCGTCAGAATGAGAGTCCAAACAGCTGATAAAAACATCACAATCCACAAGCAATCCACACCACTCCAGTCCATCTTGAGAAGAGAAGAACTGCATGTTTGTAATAAAAAAATCCATCATTAAGATATTTTTACCCTCAACCCAACGTTTCAGGCTAAAATGAGGGTCATCTATCCATAATATGGATTTTTTTTTTATTGAAAAAGTTGTTTGGTCAGAATCAGGAGAGAAATATACACAGATTGAGCACAGTTTACAAGTGAAACCAGTTCAAAACCATTCTGTTTGTGAATTTTGAATGAGAACAACAGGATTTGTTTTGTTTTGTTTTCACTGGAGGAAGTGTTATTATGGATTTAGGACTCATATTTTGGTCAGAAACAATGGTTTAAAGTTAAAAAAAAAAATCTTAATGATGGATTTGTTTCTTACAAACATGCAGATTTTTGCTTCATAAGATGTTAACTGATGGACTGGAGTGCTGTGGGTTACTTGTGGATTATTGTGATGTCTTTATCAGATGTTTGGGATTATTGTGATGTTTTTATCAGCTGTTTGGTCTCTCATTCTGACGGCACCCATTCAATGCAGAGGATCCATTGCTGAGCAAGAGATGGAACGCTAAACTTCTCCAAATCTGATGAAGAAACTCATTACTCATCTACATATTGGATGGCCTGAACGTGAGTAAATCTTTAGCAATTTTTCATTTCTGGGTGAACTACGCTTTTAAACTAGGATAGAATAGAGCAGGGCTGTCCAAACTCGGTCCTGGAGGGCCGGTGTCGTGCAGAGTTTAGCTCCAACTTGCCTCAACACACCTGACTTGAAGTTTCAAGTATACCAAGCAAGACCTTGATTAGCTGCTTCAGGTGTGTTTGATTAGGGTTGGAGCTAAACTCTGCAGCTTAATAAAAGTCACTTTCCTTTTTATTCCTCTGTGTCTGGTGGCTGTCATGTCAAACATGAGGAAACAGACAATAAAATTGATGGCCTAGAAATTTACTGCCTCGAAACTCTTCCTGGAGAAGCGCAACGCTCCGTCAGTCTGACCGGCGAACACTCCCTGAGGTCAGACAACAAATGAGACCTACAACACAATGCTGGCAAACCAATCTGAAACTCCATTTCCCTTCTTTTTAGCTCATCTCTCCTCTGAAACGTAGAAAACAGGACACGATTTAAATACCAATATGAGTTCGTGAAAGGTGCATTTGATGCTTGGAGTTCAGCTCTCAGGAGAAGAAGCTACAAGAAAACAATTTCAAAGTGAAGGTCGTTGAGAAACATGGCATACAATACAATGCCCACAGAAAAACACAAGGCTTTTAACAGTCATTTCACTGTGAAAAGCTCTAGGATGCTTTCATGAGAACGAAAATCAACAGCTGCTTTTCTAGAAAACATTGATTTCTAGATAGCACTACTTTCTCAGTCTTCTTTGAAACCAGTGAAAAACAACATTAACTGTAAAAGTAAGAATCTGAACCAATTTCTTTATTCCGCTCATTTTACTCTACTGCTTCTCCATGTTTACTGTACATTTAAAAGGTTGTTGAAGTTTCAAAGCGCCTGTTTATAACTAGACGTGTGCAAAACGCCACCAAACCTAAACGTCTCATCTCAATGACTTGTAATTATATCAATGCAAGAGCACTAGAAGGAGCAGCGAATTATATAAAGCTACTTAGTAAAGCAAACAACAACTCTAGTGTTTTTACCATGGTAAGAGGTGTTATATGCATCATACAAAGAAAAACAATCTTAACCATGGTAAAAAACACTGTAAAGTGGAGACTCAAGTCGATTACTGGGGTAAAGAAAATGCAACTGGAATAAGTGAAAGATACTGATTTTCTAAAAAATAATAAGATTAATAATAATATAAAATTGTTTATCCTACAGTTAATATGCAACATGATATTTTGATATGAATTTCAACTGATCTGCAATAACAGGTGTGCAGCTTCAGCTTAGGAACAATAGTTTACGGATATAAAATAATAATAATAATAATAATAATGATGATGATGTTCCTAAAACATTAGGAATCAAATCCAAATATATATATATATATACTGTATGTATGTATGTATGTATATATATATATATATATATATATATATATATATATATATACATACATATAAAC